CACATTTGCACCCATTTGATTTTGAAATTCAAATTGGAAATGTGTGGCCGATATAGCGGGGGACGACCAGGCAATATTAGCTTAAAAGGAATTTAATTAGCTGCAATACTGAAAGAAAAGTTTGAGGATAAATCGAGATACACTGTGCTGCACACTTATAAAAGCGCCTCGAGCTGTTTTCATAATTTAACTGACAGCTGAGCTTGCTGCATCAATATGGCAATAAGTTGGCGCTTGTATCCGGTTTCAGCAGTCCGGGGAGTCGCTTCTTGGCGCACGTAGCGACTTTTAAGTGGTTTCTGTGCTTGTGCTTGACCTCAAACTTCAACTTGGCCTCGGTCTGTATGGCGCAGGGGGATTTGCATTTGCAGCTGCATGTGCCGTGAACCATCCTGACCAACCAGACACCGAGGCAAGCCCATTAAAATCCTGAGAGCGCAAAAAGTATATCTGCCGGCCAACCACTTTTCGCATCCTTGCCAGCAGCTGGTTATCCCATTCCACTGTCTGTCCAGGATGCAGCATATGGACAAGTGCATAAGAATGCAGGCAGAGCATCATAATTCCTAGCTCTACTCGTCTTTGCCTTTGGCTCGCCTGCTAATGAAATTCCAAATAATCAATATGCGAGTGCCTGACCTTCAGCGAGAGCCATGGCCAGAACGAGAGCGAGAGCATGTGCAGACAAATACAGACAAACGCACCCGGTATACGTGTGTCTTAACTGGTTGATGGAAAAATGAAAAACATTTGGACCAGGCAATCTGTCCATTGCAATTGCTGTGCCAAAAGAAAATGCCGTGTGAGAACGGCAAACAGCCAGTGCAATTGTGGATATGCCTTGCTTTCTACCCGCATTTTCCAACACTTGCCAAGCACAAACATTTGCGATCAGCTAACCCACATCCCCACACCAAGCCACACAATCACTCCATTACTCACAAATTGAAGTCTATTGCCATAGATTGAACGGAAACGAGTGGCCCAGGGTCAGCAAATGCTTCATGCTAAATACTCTTCCCGAGCATTGGACTTGACTGGTGCTTTAAGAGAATATAGGTTCGTTTGTCCATCAGTTGTATATGCATCAATAAACTAATTAATTTTTTCTGGCAACTGGGAATATGCCATGTTATTGTGTTATATTTTTGTTAAATATCAATTGAATTGCTTTCGTAAGTGTATTTGTACTTCACCGCATCGTTTCTTCCACTTCTTTGCAGCTCAACTGTAAAACTCTGAGAAGTTCTTATACTGCACGCAATGCAGCTCCATTGTTCAGTGAGCAACCAGCGGTCATTTGCTAACAAAGTTTCAGTTTAGTTTTCAGTATATGTTGGAAAATTATTTTTTTGTTGCAATTCTTTGCTTTTTTCCTCGAGAAAAGTACGCGTATGTGTTATACCCTGTACACATAAATGGGGGAAAATTGTGCATATACATACTTACAGAAATCAGTTAAAAGAAGACTTTTTGGTAATGGGCCTCTGGTCCCTTTCTATAAGCCTTTTCAATATAAGAGCCTTAAAAATAGAGACTCGCCAAATAAATATTAATATTAATTCTAAATTCCATATCGGAAAGGCAATAAAACTTTTGGTTTATGGGTTCATATATTCAAACACTAAATGGTATTACCCGGCTTTGCAAGTACCAAATTTCCCTTAAAGTTAAATCGGTCAACTCGTCAGTCCGGACTGTTGCACAGGGATTCTGTGTACAGAGCATCGCCTAGTCGAGCAATTTTCATCACAGCGTTCTTATGTTCGACGTGAAGGAAAGTGTTTGGAATTATCTTTCGACAAGCCAAGCACACTGCCCTGTTAGGTTGTTAGCATCTTGTGAATTTTCAAATTGACATTTACATCAAGCATGAAAATTGTTCCTCTTGTTGACAATTTTCTGCCCTTTTTGCTCTTTGTAGTTTATTGTTTTGTTTTTGTCGCTCACACTTTGCTTCTTTTAAACTTTTGCAAAGGGTATACAAGTTTTGTCGTGTATTGTGTAACGCATCGAAGACATATTTGACTTTATAAAGTTATATATTTTTAATCAGTATCAAAAGACAGATCAAAATAATTATATTGGTCTGTCTGTTTTAATGCAAATCAGTTTTTGAGTTTTAAAGCCGTCGTCATAATATAAGGCATTGTTTCGTTTGTTCGTTGCAGGCATATATATATTTAATACCAGGCACATAGCTCCCATAGAAATAAAGATGAAAAGCTGAGGTTATATCATGAAGAACTTCTTCACTTTTTTTAATAAACTTGTGTACTTCGAATATTACTGCAAATCTTAATTTGCATTTAGCTACAAAGAAAGTAAGGAAACATTTATTCAAAAATAAAAGCAAGGGTATTTAAAAATCAGCTTGGCGAAGTTAGCTGTTCGTTCTTGTTTTTATGTGTTTATTGTCACACTTTCAAATGCAAGTTGTCTAATATCTATATCTGTGTCTCCATCTGTATCTGCATCTGGTACGCACGGTCGAAGATACATTTGCAAGTCAACAGCAGGCGAGTGGAGAGACACATAGAAAGAGATTCAGAGGGAGCGAATTACTGCTGTTGTGGGCATCATAAAAGATAAGCATTAGATAGCTACGAAGGTGATAAACGATAATTTGAATATTATCATTAAATATAAAATTCGCTATCATTATAATATGATTGCGCTTGACATATAATAAATTTGTATGACAATTGTAGAGAATTCTGCTGGCAATCAGCAGCAGCTTGACTTCTACGCATACATTTTGCAGTTTCTTTCTTAAACTTACAATTTAATTTACTGATGAAGAAAAATAAAGTTAAGGCTCCCTTTGCTCGCTTATTGACAAAATGAACATTATGATTTATGTTTAAATCTCGAATGTATCTCCTTCAATGCGTTAAATATGTTCGCAAAACATTCTTATTATTAATAAGAATGACCAGACAAATGTACAGACCTGTAGAATATTTAAATTTTAGGTAACTGAGATCGGTTACGAACAGCTTATGCGACCCTTTTACCTAACACGATTCCTTTAATAAGTAAGAGTTGCTGTACCATACTGGCGCAGGTACTGGTACCTTGGAAATACCTGGGCTTTGAGGAACAATGCATAAATTGGTGGTTGCCAACCACCCTTGCCAGCAGTCTTGAATGTGAAGACCACAAAGTAAGACATGGATAGAGTTTGTCGCGTTTGCATGAGCTCAGCGGAGCTGGTGGATGTATTCGCGGAGGGGAAGCTGTCCGAATGCGAACGCACGCTAGCGGAGATGTTAAATGAATGTTACAAGTACCAAGTGAAACCTGAGGATGAACTTACAAAGAAGATATGCAGGTCTTGTATTTCAGATGTGAGAATAGCTTTTAGATTAAAGCGTAATGCCGAAATTAGCCATAAGCGGCTAAATATGAGTCTACGGGAAACAGATTTGGAAGAATTTATCGATACGTTAGCAGCAGAAGATTGGGAACTCGTGCAGGATTCAATTAAGAAAGAGCTAGATGATACCTCTGAGCTGGAGCACCATGTAGAAAGCATACAAGAAAGTCAAAATATAACTTATAAGAGTACTCACTCGAAGAAGACATTTAAGTGTAAGACTTGCGGGAAGGTGTTCATTAAAAATGCACATTTGATAATACATAATCGTACCCATACCGGCGAACGTCCTTTTAGGTGTCTGAAGTGTCCAAAAAGTTTTGCCCAGGCGTCTTCTCTTAAGACACACCAAACTGTTCACACCGGCGAGCGTAGCTACAAGTGCCCCCACTGCCCAAAGGACTTTTCTAGAAAATATCATCTAAGCCAACATCTTATTAAGCACGGCGGTCAACATATAATTGTAAAGCCAATCCCAAAGCAGTTCAAATGTAACGTTTGCAGTAAAACATTCAAAAGTAATGAGCATTTGATAAGGCATACTCGGTCTCATACCGGCGAGCGTCCTTTTAAGTGTTCGAAATGCTCAAAAGCTTTTACTCAGGAATCTTCTCTTAAGAGACACCAAATTTTTCACACCGGCGAGCGTAGGTACAAGTGTCCCCACTGCCCGAAGGACTTCACCAGAAACCATAACCTAATCAGGCACCTGGGACATCACGCTTCAAAAAAAGAATCCAAAAGCAAATTACCCAATAGGAATAAAGAAGTACAAAATAAAATCAAAAAGTAATAATTATCTATTGTTGAACTAATAAATAAATACAAAATTGTTTGTACATAACTTAACTTGTTATTTTTAATAAATTATTTTCTTATTTAAGCTAGCTAAGCTGGGCAGAAGGCCAGTAAACGACCAAGAATTTGTTTGCCACAGTCAAACATGACGACGTTTTTGTAGGTCAAGGCAGATAATATTGGGGGAAAAGTTTACCACCCGCAACTCTACAAGCTGAGCCTTTGGCATCATGTTCCTTATATATTCGAACAACCTTATCGACATTAAACTACCATATTACATAGAGGAACAATCGTTGGTTACTTTGATTGATATACTCACACAGCTACAGCCGCTCCTCCTGATCGTAACTTCCAATTTTCAATAGATAATGCCTGCTGATGAAATACACATATTTTGAATACAAGTTACATATTCCTGTGCTTCATCGACCGCTTCTAAACCTAAAATGCAATTCTTTTTGCCTTTTCGGCGTTTAACTTTTCTTTTCGCATCATTAATAAATAAGTTTACTTTTGTTTCATCATTCCAGGGAATATGTGCTTATTTCGCTCGTGCATTTGGGCTTGTAGATCAGTACAAATTTTCAACTTGATATTTGCCTTTTCAAGCACAGCAAATACGTGAGCAATTCTAATTGTCTTGGAGGATTTAAACGAGTCGCGTTCAGCTAAATTTTGCCGTCACGAAAATAAGAGGAAAGCTTACAACGGGCAATGCAATATGAGTTCTTGTTTGCTTACAAGAAAATATTAAATATAAACAAAGGCCAAAACTCCCAAAGAAAACTACCGCTTAGACCGAACAAGAACAGTCATTCGTTACATAATATATATCAAAAAAATCATTTTAATCAACAAATTGCAGACCTCTAAATAAAAAAGTAAAAATAAGTTGCGATCAGGTTATGCGACCATTTTACATAGCCCAAGTCCCTCAATAAGTAAGAGTTTTCGTACCACACTGGTGCAGGTAAACTGTACCTTGGAAATACCTGGACTTTGGCGGACAAAGCATAAATTGGCGTTTGCCAACCGCCCTTGCAGCAGTCTTGTATGTGAAGACCACACAGTAAGACATGAATAACGTTTGTCGCGTTTGCATGAGCCCAGTAGACCTGGTTGATATATTCGCGGAGGGGAAGCTGTCTGAATGCGAACTCACCCTAGCGGAGATGTTAAATGAATGTGTCACGCACCCAGTGAAACCTGACGATAAGCTTACAAAGAAGATTTGCGGGTCTTGTATTTCAGACGTGAAAATAGCTTATAGATTAAAGAGCAATGCCGAAGATAGCCATAAGCTACTCAGTATGAGTCTAACGGAAACAGAAGACTTTATCGATATGCTAGCAGCAGAAGATTGGGAGCTCGTCAAGGATATGATTAAACAAGATGTAGATGAAAGCTCTAAGCTGGAGGTACCTATAGAGAATATACAAGAAAATCAAAGTATAACTGAAAAGAATGCAAACTCGAAAAAACCATTAAAATGTAAGACTTGCGGAAGAGCATTTAGCAGAAATACAAGCTTGATAAGACACCATCGTATTCACACTGGTGAGCGTCCGTATGAGTGTCCGAAATGCCCGAAATCTTTTATCCAGGCAAGTGATCGTAAAAGACATGAAATGGTTCATACCGGCAAGCGTATGTTCAAGTGTCCCCACTGCCCAAAGGCCTTTGCTAGAAAATATAATCTAGACATTCATATTAGGACGCACGCTGATCAAAATATAATTAAAAACAAATCCATATCAAGGAAATTAGTTGAGTGTAAAATTTGCGGAAAGACTTTTATAGGAAATGATTACTTAACAAGGCACAATCTTATTCATACCGGCGAACGTCCTTTTAAGTGTCCGAAATGCCCGAAGTCTTTTACCCTGGTATCTAGTCTTAAAACACACCAAACTGTTCACAGCAGCAAGCGTATGTTCAATTGTCCCCACTGCCAAAAGACATTTACGACAAAATATAATCTAAACAATCATCTGTGGAAGCACGGGGATCAAAAAGTAATTGAAAAGAAACCAAAGGAGACAAAGTGCAAGACTTGTGGTAAGACATTCAAAAGAAATGATCAGTTGGTAAGGCACACTCGTATTCACACTGGTGAGCGTCCGTTTAAGTGTCCGAAATGCCCGAAATCGTTTACCCAGGCATCTTCTCTTAAAACACATCAAACTGTTCACCAAACCAAACGTATGTTCAAGTGTTCCCACTGCCCTAAGGACTTTACTACAAAACAAAGCCTAGTCCGGCATCAAAAAAAACACGTTTTAAAAACGAAAAAGCATATAAAAAAGTAAAAATATAATTAAAACCAAAAGGAATTTAACGAAGATATTTAAGTGTACAATTTACGGCTGTGCATTTTATAGAAAAATATAAAAGAAAATTTGGTATGGCACGGTCTTACCAATACCGGCGAACGTCCTTTTAAGTGTCAGTTATGTTCGAAATCTTTTACCCAGAGATATGCTCTCATATCCCAGAGATATGCTCCCACCAAGTTGTTGATACTGGCAACCGTTTGTTCAAGTGTACCCACTGCTCGAAGGACTTTAATGTGAGACATAATTTAGTCAGACATCTGCGCAGACACTCTTAAAGGCAGAAACCAAAATGTAATTGGATAATAATAATGAAAATTAGAGTACAAATAATCCCAAAAAATATGTATTTATATATGTAAAATAATTGTTGAACTACTAATAAATGTATTTTCCCTAAACAGCTAATATATAGTATTCTTTACTATTATCGACACGAATATCTTTTGCATCTTTTCATTTCGCAGCTTAATACAAAAACACAAACAACTGCCCCGATTTAGCTATTTCATATATTACTAGCGGGTATAACCCGGCCTTGCCCGTGGCACGTATATTATAAAATCAATGTTTTCAAAAAGCTTTGAAAATGATTTTGAAACTGATCGGACGGGAATCAAACAACTTTTATGCGAATCGGAAAAAACTTAAAATTCACCAAAAAAAAATCGTTGAAATGCATTTTCCACCGAAGGAGTTTAGACTTTGCGAAAAATGTGAAACACGTCTCAAATGATTTTTCTTATAGATCTTTAGAAATAAATTTGAACACAAAACGTCATCCACCAAATCTTCGCAAATCGGACACAACTAAAAACTTCGCCCAAAAAATTTTTAAATTGCATTCCCCCCGAAGAAGTTTGAATTCTGCGAAAAGTGTGAAACACGTATCAAATGATTTTTCTTATAGATCTCTGGAAATGAATTTGAGCGCGAAACGTCACCCACCAAATCTTTGCCTCCATTTCCACCAAGGAGGAACGGATTTTCCTAAAAGTGTGAAACACCCCTCAAATGAATTTGAGCAAAGATCTTTGAAAATGAGTTTGGGACCGATCGGATGGTAAACAAAAAACTTTCATACAACCGTTTTCCGCCAATTTACCACTGTTGCGGGTGGAATTTCCCGAAACCCCGTCTTAACGTGCACCTACATCACATAAGGTAGCTACAGTGAAAATTTCAGCTTCCTAGCTCTTACGGTTTGGGCTGTGCGTTGATCACCAATCAGTCAGTCAGTCAGGACAAACAGTTTTATATATAGAGATATACATAAATGGAGAGAGCATACTAGAAATTCGACATATATCTCAAAAAAAGTAATCTGAATTTTCGTTCTCATATCAACGAACGTCCTTTTAACTGGCAAAATTTTTTCCATGCATATGCTTTTAAAAGGCAACAAATAGTTCATACCGGTGAGCGGATATTCAGGTGTCCCAAGGGCCCCAATGACTTTACCAATAAACATAATCATTTCTTATTAAATCCAATCTATTTAATCCCGCCTTGATGCTTCAGAATTAGTTTGCCACGAGCCACGGCCGAATGCAACAAAGTTTTGTAGGTCAAGGCAAAAAATGTTGGGGAAAAGTCTACCCCCCGCAGCCCCACGTAAATAAATTAATGTTATCCACGTTAGATAAACAACATGAGTTGACTGAAATATATAAGTTGATGCCCTTTCCCATAACCTGGTCTACAGCTGCGATTAATGACATTTTCCTAGAACTCCTCAGCTTCCAATTAGTTCTCTAATCACTAGCTGTGCCATCACATCACAGACTTGTGTGAAATGAACTACATACCTGGCACATGATTGCGTTTTTCGCAAGGTTTTACATGCCTCAACATGATTTGTAGACAGGTAATCAGACCCGGGTACTGATCATCCTAAAAGGCCTGCTCAACGCAACTGCAGGCCACAAAACTAGGTAGCAATCAATTGTTAGACATGTTGCCAAACATTACAAAGGCCATGAATGCCTGACAGCCGGCTGGGTGTGGGCCAGATAGAGTCAAATTATTAAGGAGCTCTAGAGGGAGCATAATGATTGCATATTGCACTTGGATATGCATTTTTTCGTGTTTGCTTTAGCGGATTTGGCCACATTTTTTCTCAAATATTGTTGTATGTATTTGCCAAATGTTGTTTTTAAATTTCTCAATGCATTAAGCATTTTTATGTTTCATTTATATAATTAAAAAAAATGTATTGTCCCCTTGGCAAATTGATTAGTAATTAAATTGACTTTGAATTTCTAGTGCTTTAATATAAGGAGGTGCCTTCTGAATGTTAATTGTAGTATATCATAGTCACCTGTCTTGATTAAGTTAATACTCTTCTAATCATATGAAACATTTAAGAAAGCAAGTAAGAGTGTAACGTCGACACAGCACGTCCTTATTAAAAATATATATCTATCTATATAACGTCGGAGATGTTTTCTGCCTCTTACACACTTACCGCATTTTCAATAGGATCAGGATATTTAAATAAGAGACACAGTGACAAGCTTAGCTTGATAGCCTTCATAATTACGAAGGAAGTCCCTCTACCGAACTATGGTCTATTTTTATAACGTTCGTAACCATTTTGACAATCTTAGGCATATATTAGAATCAAAAATATTTAATTTCATGAAAGAAATAAACACACCTTAATATTTGAATGTTAAGCAACCTTTTTACCTAACAAAGTAAGGTTCATAAGTAAGGTAAGTCGCAGGTAATGTCTACTCTAAGCTGTTTTATATGCAGTACCTCGAAAATACCTAGGCATCAACGGGCAAAGTATAAATTGGTGATCGTCAACCACTCTTGTAGTAGTCTTGAATCTGAAGTCCACAAAGTAAGACATGGATAAGATTTGTCGCCTTTGCATGAGCTCAGCGGACCTGGTGGATTTATTTGCGGAGGGGAAGTTGTCTGATAAGTCACCCTTGCGGAGATGTTAATTGAACGCGTCAGGAAGTACCAAGGGAAGCCGATGAATAAACTTGCAATGAAGATATGCAGTCCCTGTATTTCATATGTTAAATAACGCTTTAGATTATAAAGCGATGACGAAAATAATCTTGAGCGGTTGAATATAAGTCTAAAGGAAATAGATTTGAAAGAAAAGGATTTGAAACTTTCCAACGATCCGATTAAAATAACCTGATTACCGCACACAATGTGAAAATGCCATTTAGCGTAGTGGAGAAAAAGAGATGTTATGACTATCTGGTAATCAAATACATGGCATCCCGTATAGTTGAGTACAAATTACCTTTCAAAGTAAAAAAATCGACTGATATTTTTTATATCAATATTCTCTATGCATGGCTCTCAATGTTACCAGACTCTATTTCACATTCATTGGCTAATTATACACATCAACATGATTCTCAGTTAATATTGGAACTATTGCCGGATACAGATGAATGGAATGAAGCAACCGACGGTTATTGCCTTAAGGAGGACGATCAATATAAAAAAAAAATGAGAGGAATAAATTAAACCCTGGATTAGAGTTGTGGCAATATATGTGAAATGATACTGCATGATATTAATTGTGCACGAAAAACTTTTAATCTGTTTCCCAACAAACTCGATTTGTGTTTAAAGTTTTATTTATTTTCATATGAACTTAAAATCCACTTTATTTCACAGTATGAAGCAAAAAAAACGTTGCTGCTGCTCAAATGACACTTAATATGTAATTATTTTTTATTCATGCATTATTCCTGTAGTTTTTCTTCTTGAGTAACGATAAGATTTTTTTTTTAAATAATTACATCTATGAGAATGTTAATAAGCTTATTTTACATTCAAAAATACAAATAGTACAGTACATGTAAATTTTTAAATGGCAACACTAAAAATATTATTATTTCATTTTCTTAATTTCTTTTGCTTAGCAGAAAATACGCGATTTTAGTTTTTCATTGTAATTTAATAGCTCATCCAGAGGGATATTTTAACTGTTTTAATATAATTATTAAGGGGTATACAGCGAATTGAAACATTTATTTTAACATCAATTTCAGTTTGAAAAATGTTTATATTATTGATATTGAATTTTAATTAGTATTCATTATGTTTGATAATTGAATGTCTACATACTATAAACTTTTTAATCAATTTAATTTTAAACGCACATTTTTATTTATTTTGTATGCAATATCTTCTTAATCGTCTTCCTTTCTTATTTCATCATCACATTGGGAATTTCATTCGGTAATGTGAAGATTTGTTCAAATACTTGTTTTTTCGTTTTATTTCCAGTGGAATTGTTTATTGAATAATTCCCCTTAAATTGTATTTCGATTTTATATTTTTAAATTATTTTTGGTTACATTCTTTAGACTTTTATGAGTTGTTTACAACTTTCAAACTATCATCAGGGTCTTTCTCTGAATATATCTTTGGCTTAATGCTTCAACCACACTGCGCTCCATATTACTTAAAGATAAAATCTATTCCGTCAATCTTTCGTAAAAGATTTAACTTTCTGTACTCAACCTGCCGGAGTGTGTGAATGTGGAGGATAATATACAACAGAATCTACATATTGTAAAAAATATCAATGTTCTCCTTATAGTAAACATTCTGGTCTACTAATCAGCTCTGCATTCAACTGCAACTCCCCTGGACACACTTCTACGCGCACTCATCTGTGCGCTATAAATACAACCGTCTCGAGCGGCATGCCGGGAGCCCGCTCTTATAAATCCGTATGGAGCACCGGTGGCTTACAGTTGGTCTCGGCGTTGACAACGAGCAGGGCGGCGCCAGTAGTTGGGGTAATTTGGGGTGCCGTATGAGTTATTGCCACGGGCTGTATGGAGGTAACGACGTCTGTGCCAGCCGTGGTTGTCGTTGTAGTTGTGGTCATTTGTGCATTATTGTTCCGGGCATTAGCCAGAGTCCTCTTCTTGGCCTTGCTGTTATTTGCAGTGGCGTTGGGGCCAATCAAGCGCTCCGATTGTCGCCCCTTGCCAAACTTGGGAAAGAAACTGTTTTCCAGCTGCAGCTGGGCATTCACATCCTTTCGTGCCGCACAAGTGCAGGCTTTCATAAAGCTCTTCTTGAAGTTGTCGCTAAGGAAGGCATAGAGTATGGGATTCATCGCCGAGTTTGAGTAGCTGAGGCAGCCGCAGGCCAGAAAAACTGCCAGCTCCAGCCTGGAGGCACAGCCGGGCCTTGAGTTAATCAGTGCCACCTGTGATATCCAATGGGGCAACCAGCACATTATGTATACAGTAATCACGGTCAGCACCAGTTTGGTAACCTTGCGGTGTGAGCGTTTCTTCTCCTTGCTCTTGTGCTTGGGGCCCACCGTATGCAGCTTGCGTATAACCAGGCAGTAGAAGATCATGATGAAGATCAGCGGCGTCACAAAGCCCAGTACCAAAGAGTACAGAATAAACGCAGATTCCGATTGTATATTGAAGGCTTCGGGCCAATTAATGCTGCAGGAGACGTGACCTGGACCAGACTCGAATGTGCTGGCAAACAGAATGACAGGCAGCATTAACAACACCGATGTTGTCCAGGCCACGGCGGAGACGACTTTAGAGACAAACGGGGTCCGGTAGCGGGGCGATGATATCGGATGACATACGGCTATATAACGATCCGCCGACATGATGAGCAAAAATATGGAGGAGGTGAACTGCGTCACCGAGGTGCTCACCAAATAGGCCTTGCACATGTAGTTGCCAAATGGCCAGTTACCCACCTGCATTGTGTAGAGTAAAAATGGAATGCCAATCAGAAAGCACTCGTCCGCTATGGCCAGATTGAGTATATAGATATTGGTGACCGTCTGCATCTTGGAGAAGCGCAACACCACATAGATGACTAGCGTATTGCCAAAGAGACCAACAATGCAGACAAGCGCATAGAGTATCATCGTGATGAGCTCCAGAACAAAGTTGCCGTCTCGGCGGCAACCCTGCATTGGATTGTACGCGCCGCTGCCATTGGGCTGGTCGCCGCCAAAGCCAATCGGCAAAGTTCCATTGAAGCCTGACGGAAATATGAAGCCGTTGCCACCATTTACCAGATTCGCATTCATGTGCTTGTAGTAGTCCGAGAGTTCCAATACGGGACTATAGCCGGCGCTGTTGACGTCAACGTCTATGTCGCCGTCGGCGTTGGCGTCGCTGGGTTTGGTGGAAGTGGGCATAGGCTGTGGTGTTGCTGTTCCATTTGCCAATGTCGACACCGACGTCGACGTCGTTGTCAACTGCTCTGTGGGCGTTATTAAGCTCGTTAGTGTCAGTGCTGTCAGCAAAAATAACAGGACGCCACATCCACCATGGACATGGTCCATGTGGCAGCTGCGGTTAGCGGCACCATTTGGTTTCGAGTAGCCTTTCATGTTTGTTGTGCGGCTTGTTGTTGCTCCCACTGTTACCGCTGGTAATCCTGCTGCTGCTGCTGCTGCTCCTGTTCGTGTTGCTGTTGATATCGTTATGTACGCTTGGCTAATTTTCAATCCCGGGCAACGCTCATTAAGTGATGCCTGCTGCTAAAATTCAAATATTTTGATATGTTTTCCATACTTGATGCGTGGGCTTAAAGTGGAGGTGCACACCGCACAGCTGCCGTCACATAATTTCAGTTTTCAAACTGAAATGAGAGAAGAATGCAAAGCGTATTATTAATTCCATGCTACATTATACTCATGTTACACAACTAATTAGCTTAGATTGATAGCCCACATAATATGTTACTCAATAAAAGCACTAACCATACATCATACTATATATATATGAATATGTATCACTATACAGGGTAGGTGGGGCGGAAAGGCAATTTCTCTTCCTACCCTTGGTCAGTTCTTATAATCCCTTCAATCAGTCCAACGCTTCAATTTTGATAGTTTGCAAAAATTGCTTTTAGATTTGATTCATCATTTTAACTGCAGTTTCTTCTATATAAACACAAAGTTAAGTAATTTATAACTTATCGCAATTTAGACCCTTCATAAAAATCTCTACGCTTTGCGTAAATTAGTGTAGCATCATCTAAACAAAACTCCGCAGACAGAAGGCCAATAAACGACCAAGTTTTTGTTTGGGCCCAGAATTAGTTTGCCACGAGCCACGGCCGAATGCCACAAAGATTTGTAGGTCAAGGCAAAAAAATATGGGGGAATAGTCTACCCCCTGCAGCCCAACAAGCTGGTTAGCTCTAATGAATTAATTGTTGTTATCCACGTTAGATAAACAACATGAGTTGACTGAAATATATGAGTTGATGCCCTTTCCTATACATTTCCCAGATCCCCGAAACAGAAATTCTCTCTCAGCTCAGCTTTCAATTAGTTCTCTAATCCCCTACTGTTCCCTCGCATCACGGCTTTGTGCCAAATCAACTACATACCTGGCACATGATTGCGTTTTCAGCAAGGTTTTACTAGCCTCAACATGATTTGTCGACAGGTAATCAGACCCGGGTACTGATCATCCTAAAAGGCCTGTTCAACGCAGCTGCAGGCCTCAAAACTGGGTAGCAATCAATTGTTAGACATATTGCCAAACATTACAGAGGCCGTAAACGCCTGAGAGTCGGTTGAGTTTGGGCCAGATAGAGTCATTATAAAGGAGCTCTAGAGGGGGCATAATGATTGCATATTGCACTTGGCCATGTACCTTTTATGTGTTTGCTTTGGCTGGTTGTATCACCTACACATTTTTTCTCAAATATTGTCAAAAATATCCTAAGTATAGGTACAAAATTTTGATCAAGAGCAAGTAAAAACTACAGAACGAAAACAATTGTTATATTCCGCATTATGTGTGTGCCAAATTTATTTTTAACTTTCTCTTCTATCACCCTTGGATGAGCTCAAAACTTAGTTGAAAAATGTTTATTTTGATTTTAGTTATCCAATCATTGTGATGGCTTCAATTGTTTGGATCTGGTACTGTGAATCGTGATTTGATTCTATATACACATATCAGCACACTCTGCTTAATTAAAATTGTGTTTTCGATAATATTTTGGAGTAATCGTAAACTAATGCCCCAAGCAGCTTATGTAAACTAATTTAATTGATAAATGTTGGAAAAGTCACTCACACGTCCGCAATGCATTAAGCATTTAGACTCGTAATGCCACAGGGATTTGTTAAAATTATGTATTTTAAATGAATTGATTGGCACCTCAGCGAATCGCATAGTAATTATATGGGTTATGCTTTGAAGTTTTTTGAACTGCATATAATAAATAGTTGATTATCTTTATTAAGATAATAAACTGTAATTCATGGGAATTATACTTAGCAAAAATGCGTTTTTAAACAACATATAAGTCAGGTAAACATCTTTAAACAGCTATTTATGTATATACTATACTAAATAATAAAGTGATTTAAATGTTCCGAAAATATATATGAAGTGTAGCCGTTGTTTATAAACAATTTCGTCATGACTGTAAATCGCTTGTTTGAAAAATGTTTCGCTTGTTTTAATTTGCTCATATTGTACGCCACATTGTGGCCACATTTGAGTAATGTGCGAGTAACATAAACCATTCGAGGCAACGTTAAAGACCAAAAGAACAGCAGGCAAATGAACATGAACATCAAAATCGGAGAAGAAAAAAAAATTAATGGATATGGCTCCAGCTTTGCGGAGCTTGCAGCTGAAGCCTGCTAAACTGTCGGGTAGGACGACTATGACCAGTGCCAGTTGTAGTGGCAGGGCCAGGACTTGGACTTGAACTCGGCAAGTGCCTTGAAGCGCACTTTGTGGGCTCTTTAAATTCAACACGCGCCTTTTGCGGCTCTCGAGTTGGTCTGGCCAAGGCCTTCGTCTAGACACTGATTTCAGTTTGTTCGTGGGCCAAATTAATTTATTGCTTATATGCTGGGCGGAGGCGTGCCTGAGTAGAATTGTGGGCGTGGCACGTCGTTGACGCTAACATTAACCGCTGCTGAAAGCGCGCGTGGCTCATCATCTTTAATGGATATTCATAGAGATAACTTAAAGCGAGTTTTGGTAGCCGTTAAGCAACCCACAACACCACACTCTGCCACAATATATAGAATCGATAAACGTGCAGTTTTGTTGTTTGTGGTTGCCAGCGGCATAAATCAAATTATATAGATAAAAAAAAGAAGTGCGCTCACCTTTGAAAACACATACACACAAGAGACACGCGCCAAAAAAAAAAGTCAAATTGTAAATGGTGTACAAAAATTTGTTATCATCGAAAACATTTCAATACCCTGTAATAAAGTGAATTGATAAAGGCATAATAAAATGTTGTAAGCATATGTAACAAGGAGCATATGACTGATATGTATATAATTCAACCAGCAGTCAAATATTAAAATATTCTTTTGGACTTATTTAAGCTGGTATTACACTGTTAAAAGAGTATTGCGCAATCGGTTGCTCCGCAACGTTCCCATTTGTTTTTTATTTCATTTATTTACAGCCAAACCAAAGCAAATATACTCTGTCTTATTTCGAGAATGCTTTGACCTGTAGGATATGCATACAATTTATTAGAACTTAGGATTTATTGATAATATTTACAAATTTCTAGTACATAGCTTAATATTTGGTAATGCGATACCAAGGAATAAAGATACCAGATAAATATATTCATACATATACTAAGAATCAGCCATAAGCCCTATGTGACCAAATATAAATTGAGTTTTCATACCAGAGTTTCTAACTCTTTCGTGCCCAAATTGGCTGTTAGGGTATTTTGTTATATGAAGAGTATATTTTTTAGTCGATATATTTTAAATCACTTTCGCTTTTGGTGCGCGCCGCTCTTTGTTCAAAATTATACACAAGTGATTTTGTTATTTATTTGTTGTGCAGTTTTTTCGCCGGCAACGTCGCCGACTTCGTACACCTGTGATAACACTTAGTGGTCGGGCGGGGTCCTGGAACTGTCAGCCGGAGGCAAGAGTGGCATACAAAGTAAACAAGGAGCAATTGTGTAGGCTTTTACGAATGAATTCGTAGAGTACGATGGACAAGTGGAGTATGGCAGAATTTCTCTTCCTCTTTTTTTTCGGCAATTTTTGCATACAATTTATACATTTAATTTTTGAAATATCATGCTTGAATCCTGGGACCAGGCAATTATGCCATTCTGAAATTCGAGCTGCGCGAGCATTTAAAAATCTTTAAAGTGAACAGAGACAATTTTCTTTGGTTATTTTTCTTCCTTTTTATTATTTTTTGTTTGCCTTGGGGACTCACTCAAAGAGCAGCAAAAATTCTTGGAAAAATATGAGTTTTAATGTTTTTGGCTATAAAACGACGGCAACTGGGAACTCATAAGGCTATAAAACATGTGCTGGGCCATGGTCCAGAGCCTGAGGCTGGGGTGCCTGCAGTAAATGGACTTTGTTTTGACTAAGTCCTAAGTAGGAGATTGATACTTTTTACCGAGATTTGCATAACAAAGCACCGGGGATCGGCTCTCGAATATTGTACTCGCTTCGAATTTTATTTATGTGCGCCTGACAGCATCAAAATTGGATAATGGAAATTGGATTCTAGCCTAAACGAAAACGACAACGATAAACGAATCCCTACCAATGTACACCAAGTGCCCTAGGACAAAGCGAAACTTTTCGTGCTCGGGCTCTCAGGTACTTGACTTGATTACCACAAGGACAACACGTGTGACACGGCGAAACATAAACACAAACACCTGTTGAGATTCGACCAGCAAAGCAGACAGCGAAAAAGAGAGAGAGAACGCAAGCGAAAGAGGCAGGGAGATTGGGCCAGTTGCCATGTGCTCCTCTTATTAATATTAATGAGCATATGAGGTGGGCAAATGCCAAACGCTGACATCACTGCCAACGTCATTAGGACGTGCGAAAATAAATATTTAATTATTTATAAATCATGACCAGACCAACAACGGTGTCGATATCGATGTTGGCTTCTCCAGCATCCCAATTGTCCGCTTGCTCGCCAACAAATTGCGGGGTATGCGGTACAGATAAATAATATATGACAGATAATTCTGATAAAAATAATTGCTAGAAAACCGCAAATAAAGCAAGGGTTTGGGTTTAATATCATAGAAATGTAAATTTCAACGTATGTATACAAATAGCAAGCTGACCATGGCTAGATCAGATCAAGAATATACAAGATAGTATATACTTTTTTATGATAGCATCATTTTCCTACTGTCTGTTACATTTGCATTCTTATGCTCATTCTTAACTATTTCATGGCTACGAAAAGGCAGCAGCAACTAAGACCTAGGAATAATACACACACACACGCATAAATATAAACTGGTTGTAGGAGATAATAAAATGTTTGAAATGTATGTACATACTTGTCGGCCTTCGCGTTCGAGTTGCTGTAAAAATATGACTCTGTACAGCGCAGTAAAATATTTGACATATATTTATTGTTATGGGTACATGTCCATCCAAGCGGCAACTCGGCCGCTCGTACGACAGAAAAAACAAGATATGATGGCGCGATAAATGGACGATGTCCACATAAATCGTGTCACTAGTGCAAAATATAAAAAAATAAACAAACAAATATTAATAGAGAATGCTCGACTAAAGAATGCCCCATAGACACGTGTGCAAAGAGCCAAAATATTTGAAAATATTGCGCACA